TGTAATCTATTGATGATAAGAAAATTGACAAAATCATGCTTTTTTATTGCTCACTTTAGTTGAGTAAAATATTAAAATATTTTTAAAAATGTCAAAAAGTATATCGATATTTGTCTCATTTTAAAGCCTACGTTAAATAAAGTACGTTAGGCTCGAAAAAAATATTTTCCAACTAATTAAGCTCGAGTTATCAATATTTAAAGAAACATATAATTTTCTTTAATATTTTATTAATAAACTTTTAATTTATCCTTGATATTTGCGTACAATGCATGAATATGGGGATGGGTACCTACGTTGGGGGAGGGTGGGGGTTGAAAAAGACAATCAAATGTTGAATTTCATTTTGACCACTACTTACGTGGCAAATGCCACTAAGTAGTGGGTAAAGTTTCTCCTACCCATCGGGGGTAGGAGAACGGGACTGTTATAGTAGCAGCTAGCAAAGTTAAATTTAGAGAGTATATTTACACACTCCCACTATCCACTCTATTTTGGCTCTTCAATTTATTTTTTTAAGAAACGTTTATTGATTTTTCTTATATTTTGTTTCACATGTTTTTTATATGTTAATGGCCATCAATTCTAAATAATTTAAGTAGTAGAGTATTAAAATATGTAACTAATTAAATGCAATCATTATAATGTAAGAGTAGAAAATTGGAGAGCAAAATTCACCCTCTATTTTAAAAAAGTTAAAATACAGAGTTCATTGAAGCTTATTTTTAATTATTTATTCTTTAAGAAAGTGAGTATTTTATATTTGAATAATGCTATTCAGCCCTAGTGGAGTTGTAACCCCAGTCTGTGTGGCTCTAAATGACAGGTTAAGTAAAATGTAAAATTAAATGACTTATTTAATTTTACCTATCATTTAATGTCATATTAACGCCAACTAGACTGGGGTTGTAACCCCAGTAGGGCTAAATAGCATTACTCTTTATATTTAGAAAATCTCTTGTAGATGCTTAAACTGTCAAAGGTAATGATAGATTGTTTATGGTACTACAAGAATATAGGAAAATATATATTTAAATTCAAGTATTCAACATTGATTATGAGAAACGCAAGATTCGACCCTACTATACCTAGAGGGCGGTGATTTAGTGTAAATGAGGAATTAAAATTTAATTAA